TAAAGTATGAGTTAGGGACCTAATTGTGAAGAAATACTATTAATGAACTTAATGGCAAAAATTTTTAAAGTTCAGGGACGAAAAAGAAAGGAAATTAGGATAAGGATCAGCTGATATTTTTTCATTCCTTTTCTTCCCAGCCATACACGTTTCTGCTCTGTCTTCTTCCCGACTCTTCTTCCCCGATAAGCCCCCCAAGCCACCGACTTTCTTCCCCCTTGAAAAACCCGGTGAGATCTTGATGAATTTCTCTTCCTTTCTTGTTAAATCACAAGATTTGGGGCTTAGAATCTTCCCTCTCAACCCAGAAAATCCCGGTTCTGCTCTGCTCTTCTTCCTTGTCCGCCGGCTGCTGTGGGTTTGAATTTCTGGGCATTTTTCGGGTAAGCCACAGCCAAGAAATCATCTCTTTAACCTTGATTTAGGCTGGGTTATGCTAATTTCTGTTTATTTCCCTAAATTTTTGGGTAGTCCGTGAGTTCCCTGCAGCTTGCCGCCGGCTTCTTCTTCTCCCTGCCAAGTCCGGTTCTTGCTGGAAAATTCTGGTATGATGGCCACTTCTTTAAGCCCTAAATTAGCCATTTAATTGCTGCCTTGTGTGTGTCCGAATTGTGCCAGAAATGGGGAGGAATTCCGGTAGCATTTAGTAGCATTTTAAATGTGTTTTAAGTTTGATTAAGTAGAATTGAGCTTGAATTAGCTGCTGTGATGTTTTGGGTGAAAATCCCGTGTGTGTGAGTTGTGGTTTGCCAAAGCCATGCTCTCCTGCCCGTGAGAAATGGGGAATTTTGGTAGATTAAGCTATGTTTTTAAGCTTAGTTTAAGTGTAATTAGCTTGAATTGGGTTGTTGTGACATAAGAATAAATTTGGAGAGGTCCGGTTATGTGGAGATTGATAGGAATAATATCGTGATTAGGGATTAGTCATGATGATTTCAAATTGAATTTGTGATAGTCCGGTATTAATTCTGAGGTGTTTTGATTAGGTTCCCGATCGTTCTGCCAGTTAGCACCGTGAATTGGGCCTTTGGTTTTAAGCAAGTGAGGTAAGTAAATTTATGGTAATGCCCACACTGTTTTTAAAAGATGTTTTGACTTGTTTTTGAAGTGGTGGCGGGACTAAACCCGTCTTATGCAAAAGTAAGTATGACTGATTTGAACTGAAAATTTTTATGATTTTATGGCTTTGAGCATGCCTACTTGAAGTTCATGTGATTGTCCTGATGATTTGAAAGTTAATTGTAAAGACTGATTCTCTGTTAAATTCAGCCTGTTTTGTCTCCGATACGGTCATGTTATCCTGTTGCCCGCTAGTGGGAGGTCAAACGCTAGCACATGTCGACATGTTCCTGATAGAACCGGTTCATTCCTGTAATCCTGCTAGTGGGAGTTAAACACTAGCAATTCCTGTTGCCTGCCAGTGGGAGGTTTAAACACTGGCCATGACCTATAGAGGAGACGTCTATTTCGTTCCCGTACTTGTATCTGTTTCTGATTGCACTTGTTGGCATGCTATAAGTTTAATTGACTACTACTGAACTTTATTCTGCAAAATGGTTATCATTGAGCATTCCGTTTATGTTAAACTGTTTATCTGAAATGCTCAAATCTTACCCACGGGCTATCCATACATTTACTTATTGAGATATTTTATCTCATGATTTTCCCTTGTCCACCATTTCAGGTAGTATGACTCGAGACACGGAAACCACGGGAAGTGACGAGTTAGAAGGCTAGCCATTTCGAGATTGATATAATTTTAGAAATAAATCATGTTTTTGTAAGATAGATTTTACCTTGTGACTTTAAGTTTAAGTCATGTTGGACATAGATTTATGGAATAGAGTTTTGGATTTGAATAAGTTCCGAGCCTTGTGCGTTTGTGGGACCCGTCTCACGAGTGCACGGCGTCTGTCGCGCCTCGGATTTGGGTTCTGGGGCGTGACA